CTGATAACTTTTTCTGGTGACTGTTGTTTTTGCTGTGCTCATCTGAGGAAACAAGGCTGTTTCATTCATAGTAGCTGACTGTGCTACCCAAATGGTGTTTGAACCTGTTGGCCAGTGTCAAACAGACTTAGCGGAGTAGTAGGGCTCTTGGAGAAACTTGTTTTTTAAAGGACTGTAAAAAAAAGCAGATGAGTAAAAATGTTAACAGTGCTCCCTGTGGTGGTGAAGAGTGGTGGTGTGTCACACTCAACCTTAGACGCAGTGAACCTAGATAGGGTCTTCCTGTGTGTGCCATAGCTGCAGTAAAAGCTTTAGTGAAGAGCTCCTTCCTCCTTAGGCAATGAGGAGTCCATCCGCAATGTGCACACCCACAGAGAAGAGAGCATCTGTAGTTCCCCTGTTCCTAGAAGTCTTCTCTAAGCTTAGTCCTGATCATGGGAACACACAAACTAGTTTGAGGCTTACTATTTACACAAGAGTACATCAAAATTCTCCCATTATATAAAATTATTTCCCTGGACACATCACATCTCTGTTGGCTTTGCTGTGCAGTCAGGTAGCATGGGAGTTCAGAGGCAGAAGTCTTTGCAGCAGCAAAAGACACCCGAGTCCTGGCATTTGCTGCTCCCAGGCTGGTCATTGCCCTCCTGTAGTGGTAGAGAAGTGCTTGTCCAGTAGAAGCCCATGATTTTTCACAGCTACTGCTGAAAGCCGTCTCACATTTTCCTGAATTCTGGACACAAATGCAGTTTGTCTCCTTCAGAAATACAGTGCAAAAGGACTTTGGTACCATCTGATGTGTTCAATCCCTGCTCAAAGCCAGTAAGAAGTTTTCCCACAGGTGCTAATCTGCACATAATTGCAACATGCCAAAAGGGTTGTCATACCAGAGCTTGTTAAGAGTGAAAAGTTTTGGACCAAAAGTTGCTTTTAATCACCTAGTATAGAGCAGAGGTAGTTCCCAAATCTACAAGGGTTGGGACAGCATCAGTGTTGTGATATGATCCTTGCAGAACCTGCTTTGTTGCTGAGGCTCTAAACTTTCAGCTTTACTAAACTGAGATAATTTGTAAAGGAGTGTTCTGTGCTTGTCTGAAAGGGGGGTTATGTTTTGGCTTAAAACTACAAATTGTTCTGAGATGTTTGTAGCAATAAGTCCTGTCAGACTAGGTCAGTGCTCCGCAGACATAAACTTCTTCCTGTAATCTTTTGGTTTTCCATACAATATTTCCTTTACTTGTTTATTAATACCTATCTTCATGCCTGCATTTTCATTTTGTATATAAGTAGCTTCCAGCTGTGAGTGTAGGCGTCTCATTTGATATCTGCAGTAGGCATCAAAATGCGTACTTCTCAGTATGGCTATAAAACTGAGTGCTGTTGAGAGACCCATATTGGCATCATGATCTCTGAAGGTCCTAGTCCCATCCTTCGTTCATAGCAATGCAAAACAGATCTCAGAAATTAGTTTGGAGATGGCAGGCTGCTCCTTTGATTAGTCTGCATGGTGTGTGAGATATAGGGTTGCATTTTGGGGAATAAAAACAGCTGACTTCAGGCACGTCTGACTGAAGTGTATTGCTTCTTTTAAGGTGTTTGTGCTCCTCGCATACCTGAGTATGTCCTGTGCCTACTCATCTCTTGGGTTTATAAAAATACATACCTGCACGTGGGAAATACTAGAGCATTTTACCTGTTTGTGGATGAAAGGCAGGTTGTGAAAAATGAATTATCAACAGCACTGCAAATGATAGGTGCAAAAACCACAGGAGACTTTTCGCATCTGTCCATGCTGTAATGAGTTTGAGGATTTATTGGGATGTTTTGTGTTCTATTCAACGTAAATTAAATTCAAAGCCACAAGTTTAGTTATAAATTTACTTTGGAGGAATCATTTATGAAAGCTTTAGGATTTTCTGGCTAAAACAGTGTTTAAAACTTAGAATCATAGAATCATTGAACAGTTAGGGTTGGAAAAGACCTTAAGGTCATCAGGTTCTAACCCCTCTGCCATGGGCAGGGACACTTCCCACTAAACCATGCCACCCAAGTCTCTGTCCAACCTGGCCTTGAACAGTGCCAGGAATGGAGCGTTCACAACTTCCCTGGCAACTTTCCAAGCAACTTAAATGCTTGGAAAGACTTTGATTGTCTTGTTTTGAAAACATGAATGTGAAAGGTGGGAAAGGAGAATGCTCACCCTCCTTTCCCGAATTAGGCAAAATAAAGTGGTTATCAAGTCCTTTCTGTAATTTCTTCGGTTCTGTGGCCATAAGTGCTGCAATTAAAGCTGTCCTCAGTGCAGTGGTCTCTGTAGAAGAGCTTATATCTCACATTCCACATTGATTACAATGCACCAAGTGAAAAACTGAGGTTTAGGCTGTAATTCTGAATTTCTTGCACTCCTACAGGTTTTAATTCAGCTTCATATTATGTGCAGTATTTCTGTGTGTGATTTAATTGAGTAGTCAGTGTGAATTTTGTGGTGTTCGTGTGCATGCAAGGCAGAGGGAGGTTTTCTAAGTGCTCAGTGTTCGCATGGGCATAAACAGGTAGGTTTCCAGCAGAGACATTTGCATTTGAAAACCTGCTCTAAACGGGCTGGGCTTTCCCAGGAGAAGCAGCACCAGCAGTGAAACACAGCGATCGATCAGCATAGAATTGTGTGAGCATTTGATGGGCAAAGTGTTGTGGTGGAAAGACAGGGCCCAAGAATAAGCGCTTTGTGGCTTTGTTTCGTTCCTGAAAACTGTGACTGAGAGGCTTTTATCATTTAAACCAAAAATGCAATCAGCCACATTTTGCCTAACCTGGAAAATATCACAAGATCCTTTGCAACATTCTGAGTGGTTTCTTTAATCCAGTCTTGATACTAAAGAAAAACAACCCATAAATTATGTTTTTCACTTTTATATACTTATGTTTTCCCAACTTTAAAACTAAAGTATCTGAGCCACTCAGTTCAGTTGCAGAGCTGAAAGCGTGTATTTAGAGTACCTCAGGATAAACTCTTTCAAGCAGCTTGCATTTGCTATGTTTTCTTTCTTTCCTAATTTTAACTAAGGAAAACATTCCCTTACTTATCACAACACTTCTGTTACATGCCTCGATTTTCTGGCCAAGTTCCTTATGGTATTTGGAGTTTATTTTAATTTTCAATGGAAAAGCAGTCCAAGACATTCATGTGAAAACCGTGTAATGATAAATGTTGAAATACACGCCAATGGGGACACCTGGTGGAGAAACTACGAGTTGCCCGGGACGCCCTGCATGAAATCCTTGAACGGGTGAGCATGAGTTAGCTCATCACTGAGACTGTTGGTGTTTTTAACCACAGCAACTGCAAGATAACTCTTATTACCTGCTGATGGCTCCCTCGAAGCATCCTGCACTTGCTGCTGGCCAAGAGTACATGCACACAGTTGTGGTGGTGTGAGTGCACAGTGAGTGGTGTGCAAGGACCCAGTTCCTCAGTGTCTGTTTTTTAATGTGGCTGGGGACAAAGCTACAATTACTGGCAAATGCTGTTTCTCTTTTGTCACTGCAGAAGCTGCCATGTTCACGGATTTTCAAATATGCCCTAAAGATAGTTAAGAGAAGTCCTATTGACATGTATTTGGAAGGCGATGTGGGAAGGTTAGGTGAAGATCCAGGACCACATCTGGTCATAGCTGCACTCTACTGAATCATGAGATGCTCTGGGGTCCTGCTCTGCATCATATGAGATGCTCCGGTCTTGGCAAACAGCAGCTCAAGTAACCACTAACATTTTCCTGTCTGCAGTAGAAGTCCTAGTCCTCCTCCAGTAAAGGAGGGCAAAGCCTCTCTGGTAAGCATGGCCTTGAGAGAGACCATGGTGAGAACAGCAGCCCAGACTGCCTTCATCAGTGAGCTTGGTCAGGCAGAGGGGTGTTGTGCTTACCACTGGCTTTGGTAGCAGGCAGGCAGTACTTGCTTCATCCCTGGGGTACTACACATCTGTAAGAGAGCAGAGTGTGTATTCCAGGCTGTTTACTTGTATGTGCTATAAAAGGTCTGTCTGGAGTGAGACAAGCACAAGACCTGAGGACAAGGCCGTCAGCTAGGCAGCATTATCTCACACATCTTGTAGGAGCTGTGTGCAATTGGACCATGCTATAATTGGTGTGAAATGGTCATGGTTGGTTGTTTTACTTCTAGCTCACTCAGAAAGCAAGTATTAGCCTAATAGCAGCAACATACAGATGGGTTCTGGTGGGCTTTCTAGCATGCACCAGCTGTGGAACATGGGATTATCTGGGGCTTTGTCTAAGTAGGAGAAGAAGAAAAGAAAGGAATGCTTGCAGTCGTAAAGAAGGAAGGATAATTTCTGTCTCTTTGTTTTGATGCACTTTATTCTGACATAGAGGGAAATTTATAGCCTACTGGTTTTCTCATTGTTTGGGAAGGAAGGAACGTATTAATTATAATTCTGCACCAGAGCCACCAGACAGCTGGGAGAGAAAGTGGCTTTGACTGAGACCGTCACAAGTTGGGCAGCAGACTGTGGATTTTTATTAGACATAGCAAAATGTTATTTGTGAAGTCACATTTCAGCATCTTTTCTCTGTGGCAAATCAGAGCTGCAAATTAAGTATGAATTGGTGTCCCATCGGCATCCAGCATGGCCTGCTGACTGCACCCTCTCACAAAACGAGACTAATAGTAAATGAGAGAAAAACTAATCTTATTTGTTGGGTTTGGGATTAATATCAAAGCAGGACACCCATTTTTTGCCCCAGGACTCAAGAATGAGCAATTTTAAAGTCAGTTCTTGAATTTCAGACAGCTCAGTGAGGTTCTTTTGCTGCATCACATGCTTCAGCTGACACGGAGACTCAGCAGAGCTGGCTGGAGGTAGTTGCTGTGAATAGCCACCAGTGACTGTCCTGGAACAGACAGAGGTCAGGAGCAGATGCTAAGAGAAGAAATATTCTGTCAGACTTTACAGACTAAATATTTCATGCTTCTCTTTCTTGCAGAAAACACCTTCTGCAGCGGTGACCATGTATCGTGGCACAGCCCTTTGGACAACAGTGAATCCAGAATCCAGCACATGTTGCTGACAGAAGACCCTCAGATGCAGCCGGTGCAGACTCCTTTTGGGGTTGTTACTTTCCTACAGGTACGACCCAGCAATAGTGGCTGACTGTCACCTCCCTGGTGTGGAATGCAGCTAATGTTACATTTAATTTAGCTCTGATAAGTCAGATGATTATTATCCGGTCTTCCACCTTTCTTCCTTATTTGATTACCATGGATTTGATCTTCCAGTTGTTACTCTGGAGGTATTCAGTAAGCATTTTACAGGGATTGAGCAATGGCATGTTCAGCTCTCAAGATAGAGGTCTATCTGATGAAGAGAAGTTTTACACCCTGCAACAGACCTGGAGTTGAATATTACGTTACTGCTCTGAAATTCCAAACATGAACATAGGGGAAAAAAGCTGAGAGAAACACTTTTAAAAGGTAATGTAGAGCTAAATTCAAATTAATTCTATGGTAAGTGAGCCACTGGTTTGAGTGCCAGGAAAAGAAGAGTTTGGAGCAGAACTCAGAGTTGCTTTAGCATTATTTAATGGCAGAAATGTAGCTTGCAGCATTGACACAAAGACTCTTTGGGGGCTGAGTGAGCTTTCCTGTATTGATGTACTGTTTAAGAAAGGTTCGGGTTTGCTTTGCAAAAGAAACACTTAAAAATTCCCTTGCAATTAAACCTGACTGTTAGTGACGGGAGCTCCCTTGGCCAAACAGGTTTACTTGCTTTCCCGGAGTCTTTCTTCTCAGTGGTATCTCTTAGAGATGGGCTGCTTTGGATATTTTTAAATTGCATATTGGAGTTAATAGCCTTAGTAGAAGAGTTGGCATAGTTTATGTCAGCTGGTTATTTCTTCCTGCTCTATGGAAAAGCTTCCATCCTGTGGGAAAATGCAAGTGTCTGTATTTTACAATATAAGCTTCAAGTTGCTCCCGTTTGTCCTTGGCTGTAGTTGCAACATGTAAGTGGAAGCTCCATTTCCATAGACCTACACAAGGTAACTGCTGTGCAAAGGCAGAGGCCTTCCTTAATTTTCTGAGGTGCCCAAAAGTCCCTGTTTTATCAACAAGGAAGGGATGGGTGTGGGTTTAATCAGTGAAAGGTGAGTTGTGGGACCTGAAAGGAGAGAGGGTGCCAAGATGAGCAGGGTGATTCCTGGCTGATTCTCCAGTTAGTGCTGCGTGAGTCCTCATCTCTCCTTTAGTGCCCAGCTGTGCTGGATCAAAGGACAGTCAACTTGTTTCATCCTGAGGCTCTTGGCCTCTCATCTTCCACAACACATATGGTTGACTTAGTTTTCCCCTTTGTTTGATGCTTGTTGTTATGGATTTATTTTGACCCTTGAGGATAAACGATTGCAAAAAGAAAAGAATGAACACAAATTAATTTCCTGTTTAGAGTCTTGCTGTTTGTATGTAATTAGTGAATGAAGGCCCAGGGAGGGGTGTCCTGAAGCAAGGGTGATTCAAGCTGTTACTGGAGGAAGCCTGGGAGATGGGTGAGGATGAAGTGCGTCTCGAAGGGCTGGGTCCTGAGAAAGTGAAGTCTGCAAGGGGCAGGGGAAGTAGGGTGTGTAGAGCTGGCTATGTGCTGACGTTGATGATTTTCCACACAGATCTCTATCAGTGCAGATTCATGCTTGTGGCAAAGGCACATCATGCACTTCTGCTTGCTGCTCTTCAGAACTTAGTTTTCAGTTTTTCTCTTTTCTGATAAAACATCAGTTCAACAAATCTTGGCCAAAAATTCAGTGTCATTGGAAAAGATTTAGAGTATTGAGGAAGAAAATAGAAAAGCATGGCTAAAATAACTTTTCATCCCAAAGAGCAAATCATTATGCTCAAAGCCACAAGCCAGCAGATGATGGATCAGGAATAAACTGCCTTCCTCTATCAGCTGAAGGGTGTTTCACTCCTTCATCTGAAGCGGCAGTCTCAGCTGCTGTGAGAGAGACATCTGGTATTGCTCAGTGTGGCAGCCTCTATCCTAAAAAGCAAACACATCCTGCCTTATACAGGATGCAACTGCCTGCAGTGACGAGTGGATTATGTGATGTTTAAGCAGCTTTACTTTATGGTGCTGGGTAAGATGTAACCAGTCAGCAGACTGAGTTGGTCAAGGATTTATGAGCACTGAAGCACTCCCTTGTGGCAGCAAGTCCCTTGCCTGACTGAAATTGCAGGTGCAGTATTGCATTTGCCCCTAGCAGTTGGCTGACAGAGCAGTGTTTTGCATATGCTCAGACCCTAACCTGTCCTGTCTTGTGTGGACTAGATTGAAAAGTGAGAACAGATTAGTGGATCTTCAGTAAACCCTGATTTATCACCAGGCTCTCCTCATAGTTGCACATGCTGTGCAAGATTAAATGTTACATGACCAGGGCACTTCCCGTGATAAGTGTAGTGAGAGGGCATAAGGAATTGCAGAATCCCTCTATTGTCTCAGGCTCAATTTGTCCTTGCTCTCCTACTTTAAAGATTGGTGCTTCTCCTCTGTACCTGCAATGTTTGATCCAGTACCATGTGGTACATTTTCTCTAGAGTTCTTGCCTGGTTCCCATCCAGTTTAGTGTCCCCTTTTTTATTTATTCCAGATTGTTGGAGTTTGCACTGAGGAACTGCATGCAGCTCAGCAGTGGAATGGGCAAGGGATATTGGAACTGCTTCGGACTGTCCCAGTGTAAGTGTTCATATAGCCCATATAGGGGAGCATTCCCGTGGAGAGCGACTCACTTGTTTATTTTTATTAACAATCTTTAACTTGTTAATGGAATTTACTTAATCCCGTGCTGTAGCAAGAGATGGGAATTCATTGCAAATCTGTTCTCACACAGAGACACTTAGATGGCAGATTAATGCATGTAGAAGTCCACATGTTCATGGTGAAACAGAATGAGGTCTTGAAAGCTTAATTTCTTTCCTTTTATGCCTGCAGTATTTTCTCATTGGCTCTTCCTACTAGAGCTGGGATAACTTACTGGTGACCTCTCTGTGTAGTTCAAAAGGAAGGAAGAAGGTCTGATTTACAATGCCTAGCAAAGCTTGGGGACTGAAAGTGAGAAAGTTGCTCTCAACCTGGCCCCACTCTTGGTGAGCGAATTTGAAACAGGAGAAGTGTTCATGCAAGTGAAGTTCATTGTTATTTCTCCCATAGCAAAACAAAGATGTCACTGGGTTAAGAAGCAGATCACTTTTAAATGTTAAATGATATGATGATGCTTTATTTGCTGCCCGGTTGCAGCTAAACTTTTTTGGCTTGCAAGTGTTTTGTTTAAATATTTTCTCTTATATTTAGTGGAAGTTATTGCTATGTGATTGTAGCGCAAAAGATCACTTTTTTTATTTAAAACAAAATAGTTCTGCATATGTGTTCCTGGGCACAATAGTATATACTCTCTAGTGTCACGATGGCCTTTGATTATTTGGAGGAGCCTTTGCTTATGGACTTTTTAAACTTGAACCTTTCCCTTCTAGGCACTACTATCTGCTCTCTCAAGTAGAGTGAATTTGTCTAGCTGCAAGCTTTGTTTCTGGTACCCCAAGACAATAAATGCTGCTTGCAGCTCCTTTTGCTCCTCGAAGTTAATAGAGATATAGCACCCCTCTCACTCTGTTCTCATGTTGGTTTTGGGTGTTTGCGATGTGGTAAAAGTACCTTTCCAAGGATAAAATGGGACCCAAATGTGTATGATTCAAAGGCAAAAATGCAAACTACTAGGCTGCTGATGTGGAGTCAGGGTAAAAGTCCGTTGCTATCCCAGTAAGGAACTGAAACAGGTCACACCTCTGCAGGTAATAATTCGCAGCTTCCAAAGTGATGTGAAAAAAGAGTGGCTATCAGTGCCTCTGAAAAACTAGAAAATACTAACTTCTATTGCTCCCATTTTAGGCATGCTTTAGGAGTCTGTAACACAGACAAGGCCAGAGGAGGGGGCTTTTGACTGCAATAATAAAGTGTCTCATGAAAATAATGAAAATTTTTATGGCAACAGACTTCAGTTTTTATTTCAAATGAAAAGCACCATCTGAGGCTGACTTTTGCAGTCTGCCTGCACAGTGACCCAAAGAAAAGTTTCTGAGTAGTTTATCTTCACAGTAATCTGTTTTCTATCACCTTTGTTGGGAAACATCTTGACCCTTCTGACTTTTAATGCTAATGAAAACGAAGCTTTTCCCTGAACTGTCCCTGAACCATACCTAGCTTGGCCATTAAGTACCAGCTAGGTAAAATGTCTATTGTGAGGCTATTTATCAGAGCAGGAGGCTCTTTATGGTACTGAACGTGATTGCTGATCTCTTCAAAAACTGCAGTCCCACTGGGACCCTGCTGCATCTTTAGATATGTAGCAGAGGTATAAATTTTGACCCTATGCTTTGCCTATCTTCCTTAGACCCAGGCTACATTGGACTTCCAGTCCAAATTCAGTTACTTGTAAGATTAAAACTCAGCTCAGTCTTGTATGAGTAAGTGGGCCCACACAGAGGACAGGGGTATAATAGCCTGTGTGAATCCTGATGGCTTTGCAGGACTTGGTGGTGCCAGACACTAGGCAAGGAATAGGTATGTCATGGAGGACTTTTATTATGTATTTGGGAAATGTAAAGGACAATTGCATGTTATGAGATGTACGCACAACATAGAGAGGCTTCTAGGCTTCTTTTAAACTCTATCTTGTGCTTCCTTCCAGTACAAGTCCACTCTGAGGTCTCTGGTGGGGAATATGAGCTAAAGTGCTTGTTTGGTTTATTGACTTCCTTTCTTTCTTTGTAGAGCTGGAGGCCCCTGGTTGATAACAGATATGCGAAGAGGAGAGACAATATTTGAGATTGACCCACATCTACAAGTATGTCTTTGGTTTATAAAATGTCATGTCTTTTGTAGTAGCCAGAGGGAGAATTGGTTTAATGGTATAAACCATTCTATTATTTTCTATAAAGGTGCTGTTACCTTCTCAATGTTTGCTATAGTGCTGGAAAAGTATTAGAGACTCCCTTTGCTCTCTCAGAGGTGGTTCAGGACTGCACATATCCAGTCCCAGGTGGATGACAGCTCTAGGAAGAAAGTTAGAGAAGGGGGACTAGGAAAACAGAATCTCATTGATGAAACAAATTGGTAGGATTTGGGCTGCATGTTTTAGAAAGGAGAAAAACAGAAGAAGATAAAAGAACATAGCACAATACAAGCTTTAGACATTATTAGGAAATTAATCCTTTGTTTTGTATGCAAGCATAAGGAGATGTAGCATGCAGAAAACTCAAAAAAAGTAGTATTTTTTCACAGCAAATATGATAGTGTAGCTCATTCCTGTAGGATGTCACTTGAGGCCAAGCAGTTAGTGTGGTCTGAGAAATAATAAGAAGCCAAAAGTATCTCATGCAGTTATTACTAATCCATGTAGGAAGACATATTCTTCTTTAGATTTTAAGTTAATTTCTAATGTTTAAAGATCAGCATAGGACCTCTATTGAGGGGGTCACAGTCCCATGGACTACTGCTGATCCATTCATTTAGGAGGCAGTTCTGCATACCTGCAGCAGAGTTGTGGTACTGGGGCACATGTCTCCCAGGCAAATCCAGTGTGTTGCTGGCCTTGGTTCAGTGAATCACTGTGTATTTGCCTTTAACAGAGAACTTACGGCTTAGCCTGGTAGGGCACATGCATATATGCACGTTCCGTACAAGCCATTGCATTTGCTTATGGTCTGCATGTCTGCATCTGATTACCCTCAGTTGCCTCACAGCATTTCTTGGTTTGAAAGCTTACAAAGAAAACCAAATTCTACTTTTACTGTTTTTAAGGTTTTATTCATCTAAAATAACCCCAGTCTGAGACACACACAAAAAATGTTCCACAAATGTCCTACAATGTGGGAACTAATGCCATGGCAAGTCCTATAAAGTTTTTAGGCTCTTCAGAATGTTGCCCTCTTACCTCCTGGAGGTGTTTCTGTTCTCTGCACACTGGTGATTCCTAATGATAACAGGGTTTTCTTCAATTTACTGTAAATGAAAAGTAGCTCAGCTTACTGGAATCTGAGTCAGCCAAGGCAAGTTAAGGCAAACAAAGAGTACCTGTGCCTCACCAGTGTGTCCTGCCTCTGAAAGCTGCTATGTCTGTGGTCCTTCCGGACTTCCTTACATTGAAGACATTCCTGTTTCTGTTCTCTCTTGCCCATGCAGTAGTGTGTGTGCACAGATGCTTGTGTGAGCCTCCTTCCTGCTCTGCTGCTGCAGCCCCTGGGGATTCACAGGGCGAAACCTGCTCCTGTGGTGCTGAGTCCCACAAAGAGCCTTTGCTGAGCGCAGGGAGCTGGACTGGGTTCAGCTATGTTATGCGTCTCCTGCTCTAATTAGTGGGGAAAGGATAAAGTGCCATTTGCTTGGCATTTTCTTGGTGGTGGCACAGGGTGTGTGAGAGCTGAAAGGCAGCACTGGAAGGAAGATAGGTGGAGAGAAAAGAGGGAGCCGGCAGGGAAAACGGACAACTTTCCCGGGAGCGGACAGGCATGGTGTCTGCCTGGGAAGCGGGCAGAGCTTGTTTTGAGGCTGCATTGTGTCTGTGGGAATTGGTTGAGGCCTAAACCCAGCCCTGGCAGCAGCAGCTGTACTTTCTGTTCGGAGTTGCTGAGAATGGATCCCAACTAAGATGTCATCCCAGGATGTCGGCAATTAACGCTGTGGCAACGCTGGCTGTTTTCTGTTCAGCCAGGCTTCCCTGTAGGCCATTCAGATTTCCCTGGCAGCACTGTCAAGCAATCCTTGTTGGTCCCCAGCTCTGCACTGGTTCTCAGTGCTTCGCTTCTGTTTTAGCAGATATGTCAGAAGAGAATAAAGCTGATTTGAATTTCCTGAGTTGTGGTTGCTGCTCTGCGGGTCACACCGCAGTGCTCTGGCTCATGCAGAAAGGGATCAATGACATACAAGAACCTCAGAGCATCCCTCCCACATGCTGAGAGGAAAATGGGACAGAAACATCCTTTCTTTGAGGAAAGAAAAAGCTGAACCTCCTTTGCCCTGGGCTACTCCAAGCTCCTGCTCGGACTGCCCTTTCAAGGGAGGAAGAAGAGCTTGTCAGTCCAGGCACATCTCTGCTGACTAAAGATGGACTAAAGCTGTGCACTGCCCCAGCTACTGGTTAGTTTTTTTGGGGCTCCCCCCCCACCCCCCCCTTCAATACTTGCAAACGTTATAAAACAGGCATGCAAATTTGGCTGCTTTAGGCCAGATCGTTTCCATCAGTCCCCCTTGATCTCCAGGGGATGCCAACAGAGCTGTGCTTCTTCTCTTGAGGAAGTGCTCTGCAGACCAGCTGAGATGCAGATGACGAGTCCCTTTCCCCCTCCCCAAGGCTCTGTGCACTGTCCGGGGGCCCTGACTGTGGGGATGGAGAAGCATGTCCCACAAGATTGTACTGATGGAGTCTTCAGGGCCCTTTGGGCTCTTCTGTTTTCTGCTAAAGGGCAAGTTTGGTGGTCTTCCCATGCTTCCCCAATCACTGGAACAAAAAGCAACCATGCTGACAAGGCTGATGTGGGTCCTCACAGAGCACTGCGGAGGGCTCCCAAAGGAGCCAAGTGCTAAATCTCACTCGGAGCATTGTTTTGCATGTGTAGGATCGGATGTATTTTTACTTCTTTTTCCACAACTTCTATTTCTGGGTAAAACAACTAATTTGATGTTTAGGATATAACAAAAGAAAATCCCAGCAGATTTGTTATTTCTCAGATTTTCCTATGATGTTTTCATAGAAGCCAGATTCCCCTTGATGCAAGAGGAAGATCCCAATGAGGAGAAGTCTTTCAAGGAGAGAGACAGAAGGAAAGCAGTCTCTTGAATGCTTAAATCTATGTTAGGACTGCCCTGATCCTGCCCTCAGCCACAGGCTTGGGCCAAAGAGCCAGTTTAGGGAGGTGATCCAGCTGAAAGAAACAGTTGGCTCAAGGGAAGGGGTAGGAGCACATGGAGGAGGGTGGGACTGCAGCCTCTAGAATTACATCAGTTTATACTGCTGTGCAACCACACCCTGAGCGCTCGTGCTTATCTTGGAGCTGCTCAGATCCTCTCTTGAATGGTCACAAGAACAGGCAATGCTCTTTCTAGGGCGCAGCTTGCAAGGAGGAACTGAATGTAAGTGGGTTTGGGAAGAGGTGACAGCGGTTAAGAGCAGCCCTTCCTCAGGGTAGCTCAGCCCCGAGTTTGTTCAGCTCAACATCACCCCCTTGTGGGGCAGAGATGGAAATTCAGACTAATGCCAGTTTCCCCAGCAGGTAGGTGTCCTGTGGAAGCGTTGGCTGCAGCGTAGGGCAGTCTTGCTGGCTACAGATGCACATGTCCTGGACAAAGTGCATGGTGTCTGGGAGCATCCAGCTGCTTGTGGGTGGTGTATGACACCTTATGAGGCCCAAATGGTGTTTGCATGCTTGGGAAGTCCAACTTGCAAGGCAGGAAGTTTGTGTGTTTTGCTGATAAAGCTACGCAAAAGCTTTGACATTGTGAACAGACCTGTGTCTCCTTGCACATTTGTCCTTTGCTGAACACCCTAGCACACTGAAAAGCGCAGTGGTTGTCTGGTTTGCCAATGATGAACTCTTGTGAATGATGAGTCTCTCTTTGAGCGCTTTTCATTGTGGGATTCCTTGGTAATCTTGGAAAGAGAACAAGTCTATTCAGGAGTTTGTTATCACTGACATACACTAGGTAGACTGCCAAGCTGTGCTTCACAGAGGAGTGTATAATGTACTTTGAGTTGGTGTAAAATCAGAGCTAACACTGAAAGTAGCAACACTGCATAGCCCAAACCATCAGTTTCCACCTCTCTCTTTCCCTGCCTTATGCCTGCTAGGGCTGTGTAGTGAAGCAGTGGGAAAGGAGTAGGACTTCAGGCCAACCTGCTATGGAAAAGGTTTGTTCCAGTTCAGACCAGCTCCCTAATTTTGCTCAATATGCAGTCACTGTTAGCTGACAGATCAACATATGGAGGACAGAGAGTGGAAACTGGCCACAAAGGAGGGTCATGTAAAGGCTGGGTTGAACCAGGGTGGGTTCCAGCTCGGGTTCAGGCAACACCCAAAACCATCTTGGGGTTTTGGATCTTTTCAAGCAGGAGAGAGTGGACAAAGGGATTGAGACAGATGGCTCAAACCTGAGTGGAGTGAGTGCCAAATGTGCCTGGGACGATCTCAGCCGGCCCCCAGAGGATGATGAAGACAGCAGGAGCATTTGCATTGGGACCCAGCCACGGCGGCTCTCTGGAAAAGGTGAGAGGTCCTGAACTGAGTCACTGTCAGTGCTTGTTTTCTGATGGATCTGGGCAGTGGTCTGAGTCATGCAGCATCTTGGGGTTCATAACAAACACTACAGTTGCTGGAAGGCTCAGTATGTCACAGGAGAGGGAAAGGAACTCTGGTGTGGCCTCTCTGTGTAAGGCAGGGGAGAAGAAAAGAGATCTTTGTGTTGTTTTGTCTAAATGCTTCCTTCAAGTTTTAGGCTATTTCTAATCTAAATCTGCGCAGTTAAACTTAGCACTGGGTGAAAGAAACCAGGACTGTAAACACCTGCAAGGTGAAGCAACTGCATTTTCCCAGGATGTGCTCCTTTACTCACATTGTCACTTCTTGGGTGGCAAGTTAGACTGATCCTGCACATTTCTGTAGCTGAACTCAAGTGATCTTGCAAATACGGAACTCTGGAAAGAAGAAACAAATTACAGCGGAGTTTCCCTTTATAGTGAGATGCCATCTCAGGGTACAGATGTCATTGCCGTTGCACGTGCTTGAAATTACACGTGTTGCCTTTCAAGTGGGTGAAACAATGTAAAATTGGAGGGCTTGTTTTCCTGGAATTAATAATGGTTTCCACAGGAATGGTATCTTACTTGGGTTTAAGTCCATGGTAAAATAAAAAGCATTTAAATACATATAGGGTTCCTTCTGGCTCCTGTGCAAATATTTTGAGCTGCATTGAATCTAAAAAGGCTGTTTTCCTTCAGCTCTGTGAATGGAGAGCCCAAGACTGGTGAACATGATGAGATTTGTGTAGCCGTCAAAAGATTTTTAAATCGTTTGGATATTTTTTGTCTACCCAATTCCCACATTTCTCAAAAAAAGATGAGGAAACTTCTAAGGAAAGCAAGGCTCCTATTGAAGTATTTGGCCATTAGACATTATAGGCAGATGAAAAAGTAAGAAGACTGCATCTGAACTGCATAATTTGCAGTTTATTTTCAAATGTGAGCTTCAGGCTAAAGTTTGCCCTGCATGAAATTCCCTTCTTTTGTGAATCTTGTCGTTAATTAATCAACAGATTTGCAAAGCCAATTGCAAAAGCTTGGGAATGTCCTTGCACTCATTTGGTAAAGGAACGAATTCCTGTTATGCCTAATGGGAAAAGTGGCTTCCAGTGCAAAGGCTGGAAGTGTCATGAGGTTCTGTAGGAGCTGCAGAAACAGCAAACACCTCATTTATGAAAGGATACAAAACTACTCAGAATTTCCTCATGAGGAGGGCTCAGTACAAAAGGTTCCAGCTCTCCTTGCCTGACATAACGTCGCAGCCCAAAGCGAGAGAATTCAGTCTGACTTTACAAAGTGAAATGACTCCTGAGGTGCAGAAAGAGCTGGTAAGAATTAACCCTTAAGAGATCTTCATTTCTTTCTGAAGGGGAAGAGTTTAGATGAAACACAGCATAGAAACAGGCCTTAAAAAAAAGTCAACCAGCTGACATTTCCTTATGTCTGTGATGTTTCTGAGGACTCTAAGTCATGTTTAAAAAATTTCTCTTTGCAGATACAGAGCAGATCAGGGAGACTTTGCGGAGAGGGCTTGAGATTAACAGCAAACCTGTTCTACCTCCAATAAATTCACAAAGACAGAACGGGTTGAACCACGACCGAGCACCGTAAGTTTCACCCTGCACACTCCACACTCAGATGGGGGGCATGGGGAGGCTAAAGAGTTAAGTGTGGGAAACAAGGTTAAAGCTGGGTGGGAAAAGACTTGGCAGGGGGAAAGGAAGGCTAGCAGCAAATACTTGCACAGCACAAGGACAGTGGGAGAAGAGTTGCTGAAGTTGGGTTAATGGGCTGATACTCAGGAGGGCAGATTTTGAGGAGGGTTTTCGACAAACCTTGCTAATGCAAAGCAGCTCTGACTGTGTTCTGTAGAACCTGCTGTTTGTGATGTACAGTGATTGGAATCAAACTGGACTGAGCCCTGTAAAATGTACGGATACCTATAAAGTGCATGGTATCCAAAGAGCTAGGTGGCATAGATGAGTGTTTGCTGATGTTTTTGCCTAAGCATTTCGATTTCAAGCCCATCATTACAAACCTTTTGCTTAAAATGTTGGGTTTATTCCCCCTTTTATTTTTAAGTGACTTTGATCTTACCTTGCTTAAGCATGCATGTACTGGCAGTAACTGCATACCAGTACCACCCTGCTCTCTAATAGTCTGTAGACTAACAGGTGATTTAAGTAGGACCTGGTGGTCCTCATTTGTAACTTGACTTCACTGAATCTATAGGAAATTACCTGTGATTTCAAGCCATCTCCGGTATCTGGACTTAGGTCTTTGGGGTTTCTCCCCTTCCTCGCTTCAGCTTGTTTCAGTTGCTGGTTAAATATCTTCCCACCAATCTTTATGTTTTCATCTAAATGATACAGAGAGGCATGCATCTTTGCTGTGCTCTTTCATCTTGGTATTTCCTTCGGTTTCCTAGTCTCCAGTGAACATCTGTGCTTTCTTGTTCCAAGAGTAAAGATCATCATGAAATCAGCTCTTTCCTGTAGTGCCAGGCAGGGACAGTGTCCTGCTCTGTTTCAGTTCCTGTTCCTTTCTTGATTCAAGCATTTCATGAGAAAAATATTCCTCATCCTTTATTAGGACCCTGATGTCCTTTCTTGTTCCATTTTGTGGCTGACTTCCGATTTGCCTTGTATATGAATATTTCCGAGTTGCCTAATCCTTTTGGGGGAAGTATTATGTCAGTTGCTGATGCTGTGTACTAATAAGTAATATGAGATATTGCTGCTTATTAAAGAAAAATCTCAAGTGGCTTTATTATTGCTTTAGAAATAATCTTACTTTTGCTATATAGTAATTCTGTGGAGCCAGATTCTGACCTGACTCCGATTTTGAGAAGTATTTCTGTACCTAAAGTTTGGTCCTGTTGGCACCACTGAAAAAACAAAACAATTTGCACAAGTCACACCCAACTTGGGAAGGCTCAAAAGTATTGAGCAGCATTTCTCACAGATGCTGGGCTCACATGAATCTGCATGCCCAGTGAAAACTCTGAGTTCACAGTGGTTGGGGAAGACCAGAGACATTTGGGGTGCACATCAGGTCAGGAAGGCAGCTGATTGGTAAGCCTTAATGCTGGGAGACAGTTGCTTAGATAAGAAAGCTTTATGTTATTCAGGATAAGATAAACAGAGATGCACTCAAGACATGGTGGTGAAAGGTTAGCAGAGGTCTAAGATGAAGCACACAAATATTTATCTGGGGTTTTAACTGTTCTGAGGCACAGAGAGGAAAGCAGGTCAAATTCAGAGCCTCATAGCCATGACAGTGCTCTTTGTTGCAAACTTCTCTTACCTATAGCAGCTGCTCACCCACCCTATCTGAAGCCTGAGTGGTAGGAATGGCTGGCTCCCAGTGTTTGCCTCCTAGAGATCAATACATTTCTCTGAGGCCTATGGTTACCACTATGGAAACTGATAGCTAGCCTGTTTCTCCACAACAGCAATTGATTTAAGGAAAGAGAGCTGTCACCTGTGTGTCTTGCCAGCGGATAGTTTGGTGATAGTACCAATAGGTCTCCTCAATGCAAGTGTGTCATAGTACTTTCTTCCTCTATCTTACTGACTACTTTGAGAGGAATTTGATGAAGGTCTTTTTCTATTTGTGTAGTGGCTTGTCTTCTACAATTCATGTACTGGATAAAATGGGACTTGTTGAGTGCATTGGGCATACTGAGAGGGGTGGTTTGTGCTGGAAAGCAGTGTTTACTCACAAACTCAAACTGGTACTTAAATCAGGCCTGATGAGTATATTTACTGGCTGAAATTTAGCAGTCACCACGTTTTCCAGCACAGTGTGGTACAGATAAAGCAGAAGAGGGAAATCTTACTAGGTCTCAACCTTTCTTAACACACTGTCTCAGCATGTCTTACGTGTTTCAGCAATGTTGCTCAACATGCTATAAAGTACATGAGCATGATCTGGAGACTCTTGTCTTCAGCAGCTACAGAAGGATGTAACTTAAAGAGTTTAGCTTTTTCATGTAGTAATATATCTACATCATATTCACTGCAGGTAGCTGCAATGGCAAAGGATGAGACACAAAAGCACAAAACCAGTGCAGATACAGTAATTTCATTAAGACTTACAAGCACCTGAGATGAAGGACAGCTCTGCACATAGATCTAGTCCTCCTGGTGCAATCCTTGCTTGGGCCTGGTAGGGTTACAACTCAGTTCTGTCCTTCAGTGTAAATCTTGTGTAATCAAAGGCAAGTCATTTAGCTATTGAGCTTCAGTTCTGAATCTATAAAATGGGACTAATAACAATGTCATCTTCTTGAGGCACCACAAGGATAAATATGTTAACGATTACGAGGTGGTGGCTGATGGGAAGCAGGCTTGTGTGTAATCATATCCTGCACTGTACACACCAGACCATAAAATATCAAACCCATGGTTCATTGCAGAGGGCCTGTGAATAACTAGTGCGTTAGAGGCTCCTTGGGAACTTGACAGCAACACTGTTGGGGCATGGCAAATTGTTTCAGATCCCAAATCTACTTGCCATAGGGAGCACTGCAGAACCCCAGGCTGTCAAATTTGCACCCAAATGACATTAGGATCTTAAAGTCTGACACAGACTCTAATGGAATTGTGCAGAAGAGGAATGTGCTGTTTATTTATCATAGATTTGCAACCACCAGCTGCTTTCCTAGTAGCTTTCTTCCCTTTCTTTCATCTTAACCCTACCACCCACACACAGTAATCTATCAGAGCTTAAAGGCAACAACCTGTTCTGCATTCAGTGTCACAAAATTGTATCAGAAGCACTCAAACTCTCAAATATTTATTGGTATAAAATGTGGAGGATCCGAATTCCATACAGATTTCACTGCCTTTGTGTAGTTACAGTTTTCAGCACTTACGCAAAAGCCTCCTTTTGTTTGGGTGCAGATAGGACTTGATTCAGTGTTCTGGCCCCAGCAAAGCACATACTTACATGTAAAGCATGCATACTACCATACTGTCCCAGAGTCCTAAAAAAAAAGTTCCTTTGAGAAAAAACTGGTTTCTGTCAGAACGCTGTTGGGCAGCTGTGGTATTTTGATTCATTAGTGTTATTACTGTAGACTGTGTAGCCCTTTTTCTCCTAAGGATATGAATAAAAGCACTCTTAATGCTTAAAACTGCACCAGACATCTGTTTCTCAAAATGACTGTTAGCTCAGTTCGTAAGCAGCCATTAAATCAGTTAGTACACATAAAACAAAAGAACATGTAAATTAATCTTTGGAAACATGACTAATCATTTTGACCATAGGTAACATAATACTCTTGATTACTGCTTGGAAAAATGGGTGGTGTGTGAATATAAATGTACTTTACATTGTTTATTTCTTAGGACCCCTTAGCACCTTAGTAGGTGCTGCTCAGACAGACAGAAAGGCAAAGCTTCCGGTTGCCTGAACCATACCGATTCACTCTTGGATATAGTGAGCTCTTACCCTTAGGGAACATTTAGATGTTAGGCTAAGTCCTGCTGCTGCTAAGACCTCGGAGGGCTGGAAGCTCCAGATGTCAGAGTTAAGTGGCACTTGTGGAGTCTTGCTTCATTCAGTATTTAATTTCTTCATGTAGTAAGTTCTGGAGCCGAGTCTTTAGTTTTCCTTGGTAATTATCTCTCTGCTTTCCTGTGAGGTAGGCAAATAGTATCTCCGCTTTGTAGAGGAAGATAGAGGAGTTAATTTGCCACAGTTGCAGTGAGAGCCAGGGTTGGGATAGGGGAATTCATGACCTTTTCCACCCCTCAAGGGTCCCCTTGATCACGCAATGTTGCTGAAAGTGATATTTTTCTGCCCCTTGGCTGACTCAGACTGTTCTACAGCTCCTGTGAGCTGAGGCATGGAGTAGAAACCTAGAGCTAGCATGCTGCATTGCTGCACATGCTGAGGCTAAAATTATCAGTAATTGCTACATTTCACTGTGCCAGGAGTCAAGTAATGGCCGTGTGCATCCTCGTGTCTGAAGGTGAGGCTTCAGTGTTCTAAAAAGGTCTCCCAAGGCTGTGTTAATTTGATGAGGCTTTTCCAGCATATCTTTGCTGTTTATCACTTTCCCCCTTCTCAAGAAGCATAAGGTGGTGTGGTTCAACATACCTGATTCCCCTATTTTTGTTTGGGATTCCCAGATAACTCTGTGGGCACTGGTCTTCCCCTTGTATTGCAGTGGTTCATCCAGGGATCCACACTGAATGCCCCAGAGACCTCAGATCCCATCTGCATTCAATTTCCAGTCAGAAAGGTTGAGTCTAGGGAAACCTGAACATTCGGTAGCTCTGTGACCATCTGCTGATTCCATCCAGCCCTGAACAGTTTCCAGCTGTGTGTGGAAATGAAGGCAGCTTCCTGGCAAAGGGAGCAGGGAACAACCCTCCGGCAGGTGGGGCTGGCAGAACTGTCCTGGCTGTGACCTTCTGGTGCCCTGCACCCTGAGCATCTCAGGATGTTGGCATTCCTTTGTGGGAAGAAGGAGTTGTGTCACTCCAGGAGTGCTCCCTGGAAAACCCCAGACCGTCACACGGTAGGCCTGGTTTGGAGAGCATGAGTAACAGAGGCACCGCTTCCAGAAATGGAGTACTCTGCCCATGCAGTTCCC